TATGTCTGTATGTATGTATGTATGTATGTATGTATTTTTACAAATAAACGTCATACTTTATTCGCATCAGATTTTAAAACAGTAATTTGCATTCATGAGCTGCGGATGTGGGAACCAATCGCGCGATTTTAATCGCATAAAGTCACTGGTTTTGTGGTTTGAACTATCAAGGGTTCAAAAAATATGTCCTCTTTAACCGACTGCGATAAAAGAGGTTCTCAGTTTGACCTGTATGCATGTACCTATGTATATTTGTGCACGACTATCTCGCAATTGGGATGATGACAGGGGTATGAAAATTAAAAATATACCTAATTAGTTCGTCAGTTAGGTAATGAAAAAATATTAGACACGTATTTTTTTATTTTGTCGTATAATAAAACAATACTTAGATAAAACGAATCAAAGTTTACGAGTGGGGGCTAAAACGTCATTTCTACGTAGGTATAAGTAAAATGTACATAGAAGTGACGTCACGCGACATTTCAAATAAATATATCGTCGAAAGTATTCGTTTCTGTAAGAAAATAAATAAAAAATACGTGTCTAATGATTTAAAATAATCTACCAGACGGATATTAAAATAAAAACTAGGCATCTACCTTATTGACTGAACGTGTTAGAAATTTAAGTTAGTCTTTTAAATAATAAATATTTTCTTATATCGATATTTTTATTTCTTAGTCCCGCACTATGCGAGTGATATTTGTAGGTGCGCTTCGTGGAATAGGAAATTATTTATTTTAAATATTTATTTTAAGCGAACCTACAGGTGAGCTAAGTGGAATACTTTAGGTGCACTTCGTCTGGGTGCGCTTCATGAAATACCTCCAAAATACACCGTCTCAATAACTTCCGAGTTTCCCGCCATCTCGACTTATTCATTTTTCGAACTACAGATTACATTTTCCCGCTACGCGATGAGATTTCGTTTTTATTTTGTCTATGCTTCTAACAATATTATAATAAATTACAGCCACTAACATAAAAAAAGACTAAATAAAGTAACAAAACAAACAAGTTTACGTCAAACATTGGTATTTAAAATGTCGACTAATAAAACAGATCACGACACTAAGATTTATGAAGATTTAAAATAAAAATACTATTTCTAATCTGTGATGTTTATAGTTCAGAGAACGAATGAAAGAATGAATGATAAATGACAAGAAAGTATTTTATTATCTGGATTTTAATGTAGCATAGTAATGTATTTTTATGATGGACCATCAACCATCACTTACTTTGTGAAGTAGTGGGCGGTAGCGCATGATATATTAAATTTTAATGCCAGATCCACATGTTTGGCAAACTATAGCGAATAACAAACAGAGAACGCGCGAATTCAAAATCATTTATTTCAATGGGGTAGGTAGGGGTGCACAATACGGCACTTAATACTACTTTATAGAGTAAAAAAACCAGTGAAAAGTGTTCACTATTTATGTTATGAGTCTCATGTAATAGAGGGTGAGCCTATTGCCATACATCGGGCACAATTCCAAACTCCGTGACACTACTGAGAATTTACAAATAAGAAATTAATAATTGACTCTAAGACAGAAGCTATTTTTGCATTATAACTTTGTTTAATAATTCAGTTAATTACCTATTATCTGTCGCCGCGTTGCGAGTCGCAGAATGCTGCTCATGAATATGAGCCTCTAGCGTGGCTTGAAACTAGTCGAGTTCCTCGTCAAACAGTTAGTTTTTTTTATTGTTCTAGCCGGTAAACGAGCAGACGGATCACCTGATGGTAAGCAATCGGCGTCGCCCATGGACACCTAAAACACCAGGGGCGTTACAAGTGCATCAGCGGCGTTTTACGGATTAAGAATTTGAGGAACGTTGTAGATTCAAGGATTGAGAAGATTGGGGAAGAGAGGGCCTCCTCCTCCTCCGATAGCTTACCATCAGGTGATCCGTCTGCTCGTTTACCGGCTTAACCCATGAAACTTTGTTTTATACTATGTAGTGATAGAAGATGCGATATTCCTGTCTACTGTGTTATTTGGGGACATTTATAAAATACTATTTTTAAACGTCCCCAATCATGTGAAACTAACATGTGTGGGTACTATTTTTGTTATATGTGTGAAAAAAGACGATCGATGCGAGTCTTGCTCGCGTCTGGTGTGGTTCTGAATATGAAACAGAAAATTACTGGCATTTTTTTAGGGGGTAAAATCATCGAATGACTTCTACCGCCTGGGTGAGGCGGGAGGGAGTGTCAGACTCTTACTGACTAAAAACCACCCCGTTTCTACTCCTGCCTTTAGTTCTCCGCGGCTCCGTATCAGCATCAGCCCTATTGGGCTCCATTCGTGGTGGTTTGATGGCTCATTGCGTAAGCAACGGGTCTGGTTCTGGTCGGGCGGCGAGTTACCCGTGCTCGCCGTCCGCAGGCCGAAATACATCATTCACATGTAAAAGAG